ATCATCATCATAATTGTCTTTCTTTTCCTGGGTCAGGGTATAGGTCACAAACAGTTTTCCTTTTCTTTTACATGAAGTTTTAGCTATTAAAAAAGATAATAATGATAATAAAATAATTATAATAATAATAGTAATGATAATATTATTATAATGATAATAATAATAATATCCTAACAACAACAATAAATAATAATAATAAAATTATAATGATAATAATTATAACGTAACATTAACAATAGCCTTTTGCTTTTTAAAATGGGATAAAAACTTCCTAACTGTATAGATGCACAAATTAGTCTTTGTTAGCTTGTGCTGTTGGGTTCCTTTAGCCTATGAATAAAGCATTCCGGCTATACATATAATATGACTTTTTGCAGTTGGCAGCGCTGTGAAATATTTACTAAAAAGAAAGAAAAAAACCATTGTCATACATGTACCGCTACCCTTCAGACGAGGAATGAAGTTGGCGGAATAATAGGCTGTCCCCGTGGTGTTATGCACCCCGCATAATTTAGCAAAATTTGATCATTTTTTGCATAATCTCTGATTATTTTCCTTTATCATTCTTTGTTAAAATTAACAGAATCGCATAATTTCACATTTTTAGGCTCAGTTTGTATAATTTCAGAATTTTTCTTGCTTAAAACGATGGGGACAGAATAGGGCTGGCTGTTCTGCTAAGCGGGGTCCATTCCTCCTTTGTACAACCCCGACGGCCCAACAACAAGGAACATGATTCTGCTGAGAAATCTGTGTTTCAAAAATGTCTTCGTTGGTGATATACATGTACATGATGCAAAGGCACTCAGAGCCGAGTCTACTGTCTCTTTATCAATATAGTCAGTTGTATTCTCCAAAACAATGAGTGCAGTGCCTCACAGACGTGAGCGTCTCACACGCTGGGCATCATCTCCCTACAATATACCCCCACTCCCCTTCTCCATCCAATTCTCAATCTCAGTCTGTCGCTGGCAAGTGCCACGGTCAGTGAGTCAGTGAGTTAGTGCCTCGCCTTTCCATTTTCCCCAGAAAGCGGCCATAACTAGGCCTTACAAGGATGCTGACTGCAACAAAGTTTGCCCTGGTGTTTAGTGAGCGACTTGCATTGCTCGGTCTTAGGTGTATCGTGACTCCAACTCCAGAGGTGTTACAAGAGAGCAACAAACATAAAAAAGAAGAAGAAGAGATAAGGACGATAGATGTTTGATAGGAAAGAAGAAGCAGCAAACCACACTAGAGCACCCGCCAACCACCCAATGGAGTGTGTGTAATCAACAAGACTATACAACAACAGCACGAAAAAAGAAACAAATCAAAACTGGATATTCTTGGCAACAACAATGTATTCTACAGAATTAAAGAATAAGTTAAAAGTTACACACATCATTGTACAACTTTCTGTCTTAATTAACAACAACGACACATCATCATTGCAACGGCAAACTACTAAAACAAAAGCAGCTGTAGTTGGGACATAACCATACAACAACATACTCCAAAATGCCTCTCTTCACATATGAGTGAAGTTACAGCAGGCAGAAGTTTGATGAGACCTTAGTAAAACTGTGCACCTCTGCATGAACTGAACAGGTTAACCTACATCTCCTTTGACACGATAACTTTATACACTCAGTTTTTGAGTTTGTTTGTTTTAGTAGAGGTTTTACGGCACTCGCAAGTGCATAAGGTCATATGAGCGCCAGAAGATTAAAGGTGTTACAAGAGAGTAACAAACATAAAAAAGAAGAAGGGGAGATAAGGACGATAGATGTTTGATAGGAAAGAAGGAGCAAACCACACCACGTTTTTGAGTTTGAGTTGAAGAGAAACCGAAGGACATGAAAATAAACATGATGGTGTAGAGGGAAAAACATGAAACAGACACATAATAGAAACAACAGAGGGAAAGAAATCAAGGGCAGCTTATTAGTATTAGTGGCATCTGACAATTACCAACAGTTCTTTGCGATACAACAAAAATCCACAACTGGTCCATGCAAGAGGTGCTTCAAATTTATACACACACACATATGTATATTTATTTTTACAGTCAGGCACGGATAACTCATGCACATCAGGCATTGACAAATGTGAGGCAGCGCGGTGGAATCAGGCTCTCGTCAATTTTGGGGCATGTAGAGTTATTGGTATCTTCTTAAAGCTTGTTCCTTTGTCTTTATTTAGATGAAAAAAAATATCCAATTATCTTGAATACAAAACGAGATATTTGCGAAAGAAGGAGGTGAGGGTCACCTGTTTTCAGAGGTAAAATTAGTGAGAAAATGGCCGCCAAAGATTAGTTATTTCCTTTGCTTAAGATTCCGTGGTAACTGAAAATTGACATTTTTTTGTGCCTGTATTCAACGTTTTTCAGAAAATCTACACAGAAATGAGTTCTTTAAAGGGCATGGAAGGTGTTGAGCCAAAAAACAAAAATTTTATAAAAATTCACAACCCAACGGAAAAATGCAAGTTTCTTCACTTTGATTATTTTGACGAGAGCCTGATTCCACGGCGCCATGACACAAATGTGTCTGACACATCGACACAATAACAGTCATATAGAGCTGGGAAAAAGTAAGACTGACATACAGACAGAAGCAACAGCGAGAAAGTAAAGAAGTTGGACCTACCAGTGTCACTCAAAGACCAGCTGCTCCATATTTCAGCTAAACCGATATATAACGAAACATAAAAACGATAAAAGATATCAGTTGGGGAATAGCAAACGGTTTGAGCTATCTGTGGTTTTGAGTCTTCCCTGTTATCTGTGTCAGACATTACTGCTTTCTTACCACAGTAAATATCTAAGCCGTAGCTTAATTCGATATCGAGATATTAACGTTTCTTTTTTGACTATGTTAAAGAGATTTAAATATCAAAATTTCAAAAGCGTTTTTCCTGAAACTGAAAAGTGGATATAGTCACTTCTTGTGCTCAGCCTTCAATACATATGAATAATGCCCGAGTCACACCCAGAAGTGGTATCTGGCAACATGATAAATACAGAAACAGTCAGGAGATCTAGACACAATGGAGGATATATTCTACATTAACTGTCAGTTCTGTCATCACTTGCATTTCTAATTTCCTTTAGAAGAACGTTTACTCTCTCCCTGCAATTTTCACCAACACACAAAACATAAACACATGTAAAACAATGCGAGAAGAAAACTTCGCAAAACAGACATTTTATTCGAGCAGACGTCATCAAAGCTAAAAACAAAGAGTTGCCTTACAATTTTCCAAAAAAATAGCCGAGGATGTTTGATTGGGAACTATTTTTGTCAGAGTGGGGAACCATCTTGTGGTGACCAACCCAATAAAGGGGGTCATAACCAACAGTAGCAAAGCTTTTTAATTTCAATCCCAAACTCTTTCACTCTCACAAACTACACTCACCAGAGTAGCACAAAATGTTTCAAGTAATAAGAATCGAAAGAACACAAAGCTGTGTTGGGCTGGGAAAAAAAGAGATAGACAGATAGATATATAGAAATAAAAGAAAGCATTAAAATAAAGAAGTAGGGCCTAATAGTGGCACCCTCAAACATCTTTCTTCCATACATACTTAAAAGGGTCACCAGCAAACTAGAATACAGATTGAGTCATGGCTAACTTCACACATCCCATTTCAGCAGACACACACACATGCTGAAAATTATATTTCAATGGTGATCCCAATGTACTTAGAAAAACCGATAAACTCCTTTAAAATATAATATTATATACATTCAGTAAGTTGCACTTTGTATAACAACACTATAAGACATTCAACTCTAATCTTTACGTACAAGCATACGTGATGGTAGAGTCAAAGTCGACAGCAAGCTTTTTTTTTTAGTAGAGGTTTTACAAAAGTCTACAGAAAGCTTTTTTTTTAGTAGAGATTTTACAGCGCTCGCATAAAGTCTACAGCAAACTAGCACGATGATATCGTTGCTACATTTCACAAAGAAACTGATTAAGATAAAAGAAACACATGGAAGCGGGTGTTTGTGTGTGTGTCAAAGGAGGAGCCCCAGTTATACCACAGTCATTCCACAGAAGGCACTCATTAGAGCTCCAAATGCGTATAAAAACAAAATGAAAGTGGTGGAAAACTTGACATCTGGGACTGAGATTCAAACCCAGTTCATGTATCCAGAGGTGAGCACATCACCATTTTGAAACAAACAACACTCCCCCAATATATATGCTTTGGTGACAAGCACAAGATAGCCCGATGTCACGGGTCAAACATCTATTCATTCAACTTCCGCTCATGTATTTCAGATAAATGATGAGCAAGTCACCACGGTAAGAACCACAAAGAAACAACCAAGTTAGAAAACTGCTGTAGCAGATGGAACGAACAGAAGTCTGCAGGTAGAAAATGCTTTGATCACAACTTACATGTATAAAACAATAGGTTGTTGCTAACTCACCATTGTGAGCATTCAAAACGCAGTTGCACCAATGAAGTCAGAAAAGACAGGTAAGACTGCCTGTTCGTAATTTTATTCTTCAATGTGAAACCACAGCCACCACCACTCCGCCTCTAAATACATTATCCTCCTTTCCCAATTCTATTGTCAATATTCATAGTTATTTATTGCCACACAAAGACATGACTTAAAAATCCCTTCAGACAAACTGTTCATGTCACTACACACCTGAAGTTATAAACCGTTCTCAACTCACACCCAAAACAGCACCGAGCTCTTCACAGGGAACAAATGTGAGGCGTGCTGACAAAATCAGTTACTTCTCGCAATCAAAAATGGAGATATTAGCTAAAAATTGACACAAGGGACATATTTATAAATTCTAAACTAATCCCATTCTCTTCAAGTTTACATGTCTTTTATCATTTCATACTACTAATAAATTGTAAAAAGTCAGCCTATAAATTTGACGTATCTATTTCCATCGGCCTAAAATCCGAGAAGTAACTCATTCTGTCAGCACACCTCACAAATAATAGAGCATGAAAATTTTTTAAAAAGTCAACAAAATAATTTTTTTTTACAAATACCGAACTATAAGTTCCCTATAAGTGTAAGTACTAAAGGCTTACAGAGACAATTGACAATAGCTTTAACACACACCCCATTCTCAGACCACATTTGCTGAAGTCACTTTTGTTTTATTTTGAAGATTAAGACACTGAAAACACCATTTCTTAGTTATTGTCTTGATAAAATATCTGACGCAAACAACAAATCTTGCTTGATCCATACTTATACACTATTTATATAAATTTATTCACTTGTAATCAAAACCGTTTACACATACATACACCTACATTAACTAACAAAAGTCAATGCTGAAAATATGTAATGAAACCGATAGCAATAGGCTTTTCACCACAAATCTACCAAAAATGCAAGGCTACCGTAAAAAACAGCAAACCCCCACCCCTACACTTTATGAGTATCGTCAAGATAACATTCCAACGACAGTAAGAAGAACTTCATCTTGACTACAGTCAGTCAAGACGGAAAACTTGTCCATCTTCGCCTCGGAACAAATGAGGAACAAGCCCGAGAAGATGATTGTGTGAGTGTGTGTGTGTTTGTGACTCTCATCTCCGACTCCGAACGTAGATGACATCCCGCCTCAACAGACTGACCACATGCTTCAGGACACGCGGGCGTTCAACTGACCAATGGCTTGGCAGGGTTCAGCAGACCTTGCAGCTTCTCCGTCAGATTGTTGGTCTCCCTCTCGTTGTCCGGCATCATCTGAGGACCAACCAGCACTTTCAGTAATAAAAACCAGCAGTTTAAAATCTAAAGTAGTAAGACCTATAAAGAGGCACCCTCCAACCACCTATCCGACAACCATGGCTATTCCTTTTTATTATTGGTCCGGTATTTTAACTAAATAGAAGCACACAATCAGTGCCTGTGGTGTACTGTTTAGTCTCTTCACTGTTGCACAGAGAAGACAGGCATTGTTCCCCAAGAGGAAGTCTATTAAACCAAGTATCCCAGTCTTTCAAGTGAGACGTCGTTTTCCACTCAACCCCGGTTTGCCTAAACAGATGAGGTTCAAGTAGTCGGCCGGAATCCAAAATGACCTAAAATGCGTTGACGGGGTAATCAACCATCAACAATCAATCCGCAGCACATTTTAGTTTTATATTAGTACAAGTTTTATGGCACTTGCAACACAAATAGGTCATACGAGTGCCGAAAATAAAAGGTTTTTCTAAAGAGCAATATGCGAAAAAAAAAAAAAGAAAGTAGAACGAGAGAGAAATATTAAAGTTGTTTGAGAGGGAAAAAGAAGCAAATCATACTAGGGCACCCGTCAACCACCAACAGTGGCACACTGATAAAATAAATATTATATAGTAACTCATTCGCTACGCCGA